TACAGATGCAAAATGAGATGAGCAAAGCCAAAGGAGAGAAGGACTAGGAGTTGGAATTTAAATTGGGTTTCAGGTATAGAAATTTCTCAGGGAACCCTTTAACTAAATTTTAAAAATTATAAAAAATATATTTTAGGTTTTTAAGACACAAATTGATATCCTAACTCTCCTACCTTATTTTTCCGAGTGCTTTTACCTATAGAAAATGCCAAAACAAAGACGAAAAGCTCCTTTCAACTCGGGGGAAAAACTATGCGAAGTTTTAGGGACTTTCAAGCAATCTGCGAACTGCGGTTAATTACGGCCAAGTGCACGGAGCAGAGCTGCAAGGATGCCGGCTGTTGCTAGTTTGAAATAATTTAAGGAATTCATTTAGAATCCTGTCAGACAGGCGCCGCCACCGCCTGCAACCGAAGCGATTTGCAGCCGCCAGAAATACTTACAAGAAAACTAAAAGAAGGGAAAAACAACAAACATGAAAACAGGGGGAAAGGGGAATAATATAAATACAACAATATGAGCCGCTGTGCAATCGAAATGCCAAATTGCTGGCCGAATGCCAAATGGCCAACGGGCCAGACCAGACCAGGCCGGCACAAGGCTGGCAAACAATACAAATGAACGCGATAATGATAATTACAAACGCCGATGACGAGGGCGATAGCCATGATGGTGATGACGCCGAAGACGAGGCCTGGGACCGGGAGACTCCGGCTCGGACTTGGACTCCGTCTGGGGACCCCGACAAACAAAAGGAAATGGCAACAATTTATCCATTCGGCGAAATGTGACACAGGAATCAAGCGAATTAAAGCGCTCGTGCATGGTGGCGAAAACCAAAGAAAAGCTCTGCTAAAAAAACAACAAACAAATAATAAATTGCTTAAGGTTTTGACCTTAAGCCGCTTCGATTTCGTTTCAAGTGCCAAAAAAAATTTACAAATGTTGGCTTGGTTTTATGAGCCGCAAACGGAAGCCAAAAACAGTCAGGAAGCGAAAGGAAACCTGCCTACCTTGCCGAAGACAAAGATTGAAAGATTGGACATCTTAAATACCCAAAAGGTATCAAGGAAATAAAGGAAAACCTCCATCAGGATTTAGATTCAAGGAAAATGCTTTTTGGGAAATGTTTACCAGATTTTTATAGATTTTATTTTTAGCATTAAAAAGCTAAAATTTATGGGAGAACTGTTGGAAGAATATTTAAAGAAGAATTTCTTAAACAAAATTTAAGAAAATTCCTTAAGAAAAAACTCCCTAGCATACCCTATACTGTCTCACCTTTTAATACCTTTAATGATAAGCAGCAATAAAAGCCTTACCTTCACACCTTTAAGAGCCACCAAGGAGTAAAGCGAAATTCGAAGGAGCTGGACAACGATAGAGCCATCCCGCTGACCTGTTAATGTATGGGCCAGATAAATGAACATCATTAAAAGTCTGTGCAAGTCGGGGGCAACTTTATTCGTTCTTTTCTTTTTGCCACGTTATTGCGATGCCAAGTGGCCATAATTTTAATTTTTACGAGCATAAAATGCAAAAGTACCGAACACAAAAGGTAGGAGTGGCGCACAGGATGCTCCACTTTCTGCACTTGAGTCGGGCTGTGTTTGGGGGGAGGCAACTTTTAATTTTCAACTCGGACCTGGGAGGGGGCCTGCCATAAAACACGGCATTAAATACTTTCAGCAGTCACGAAAAGGAAAGCCTGAGAATGTTGAAAAACTTGTTGAATTTTGTTTCGTTTCGAGTCGTGTTTCAATTAGATTTTCTTTTCTCTTTTCTTCCTGGCAGGACGAACTGGAGGAGGCGGATGCATTTCTGGTGGTCTACTCCTGCATTGACAAGGAGTCCTTTACGCGGGCCAAGCAGATCCTATCGCGGCTGCAGGACATGGACCTACTGCGCCATCGCCCCACCATTCTGGTGGCCAACAAAATTGATTTGGCCCGCTCACGCGCCGTCTCCGCTCAGGGTAAGTACTTGGACTGCAATTAGCCGTTGTCGGTCATTGCATTTCATTTGCATCGTCAATTTTGTGGCGTGACCCAGGCAAATCCTTTTCTAATCCTAGCTTAGGGTGGAAAAAATCATATAACAAAGGGGTTTTCGGGATTATAAAAGTTTAGTACAACGCAACACCGACTGTTACCTCTTTCATGTACGTGAGACGTTGTGCTTTCTTGTAAAGAAAAAAAACAATGCAGATTTAAGATCAAGATACACTTCAGAAAATCCTTGTAGATCCCTACCTAGAGTGGAAAACCTTTTAAGCTAACATTTTCCTAGAGTTTCCAGCTCTCTTCCTTTTAGAATATGATATGAATTATGTTATGACTTCAGGAAAGATTTTATAGAGCAGATTATATAAATGTATTAAATCAATTTAAAATAGTTTTTAATTTTTAAAACAATATTTTTCTAATCATTTTAATAATTTTATTCCCCTCCAGATGGCAAATGCCTGGCCTGCACATTCGGTGCCAAATTTATCGAGGTCTCTGTGGGCATTAATCACAATTGCGATGAGCTCCTAGCCGGCACTCTTACCCAGATTCGGCTAAAAAAAGACCAGAACCAGCTCCAGGTGAGTAACAGGAAATAAACCCATATAGTACCCCCCTTAGGTCTAGCTTTAGTAGATCTGGTTCAGCTATCCCCCCTCTCTATATCTCTGTATTTGGTGTCTTTGTAATCAATGTAAATCGATCGCTTTCGCAGCTTAATCCAAAAAAATCAAAAGATAAAAGCAAATTTAGAGAAAACAAGAACGTAGAGACTGTTGTAGAAACTGATAAATGTCTGACTGATCTTAAAACTGGCGATGGGGTAAGTAAAATATAAAAGTACCCCCGACCGACTAAAAAATACACCCACTCCAATTTATAAACTAGCCTTTTCCCATTTCGGACTGAGTTTAATCGATGTTTGATGTGTGTTTTCAACATCCTCCCTTATCCAAAACTACAAATAAAGCATGAAATAATGTGTATAGTGGTTCACTCTAAAAAATATTAAGACTTTTTAATGAAAAAAAATCGAAATTTTCAATTAAATAAGAAAGATATTTTCTAAAAATAATTCAAAATGGCGATGGTGTTGCTCAACATGTTCCTAGCAACATTTGTTTAGCAACACTTTCAATATTTTCGAGTGTCTTTCGCCACATTTAATTGGCTTTTCTTAATAATTTATAAATTTTAAAAAAACCTTTTTTCAGCAAATTAATTTAATTTTGTTATTATTATTCTTCAGCATTATATTTCCTTTTCCAATTTTACAAAAATGTTCTTGAAAAGGTTCAAAGTTGAAATAAATTCCTGAAAAATTTCTTCATTAAAAATACTTATTTTTAAGAGTGCTATAACAACTCCCTTGTTTTTTGTGTGTTTGTTAGACTGTATAAATTATGCATAAGGTCCAGTAACCGCTCCTCCCTTGATCTCTTGCCAAGTTCCCACAAGTTCTGTGAGTTTGCCAACAAGGAAATGTGTCAAGTGTCCAAAAAGTACAGAAACTATTCGACGCAAACTGCCAAACTGTTTTGCTCTTGTCTTCCTTCGTTGGTTGTTTATTATCTTACGAGTATGCCCCCAAAAAAAAAAACAGCACAGAGCCAAGAAAAATGCAAAACCCATACTGGAAATAACCATAAAAATAAACTCGAACAGAGAGTAAATGTAAATAGATGCTGTTTGGCTCTATCTTTTCTTTTTGAAGACATTTTTTGAGACTCGTTTTTTAATGATTTACTATATGGATTGCAGGGACCAAGGGACGCCAACTCTCCGGCTCACTGGTACAAGAGCCGCAGCGTAATGCTGGCCAGCATGAAGGCACGCCAGATGCTCACCTGGATCCTGGGCAAGGAGGACTCCAAGTTCAAGCACTGCGAGAACCTGCAGGTGCTCTAAGCCAGCCAGCATGCTATATACATACATATATGTACTATACTTTAAGGGTTACCTCTCGCTCTGTATCGATATGTGAATATGTGAACAGGAGGCGAGGCGAGGCGCAGGCGGAAAGCTTTATCTCTAAGTGCTACCCAGGATGGGACTCATCTAATATGTAAACAGGTTTCGACAGCAGGTTCGAAGCCCTCCACCCATCCCAGCCCCATGTAATGTCTAAACTTAAGCCCGATAATCAAAAATTAAATCAAATTTAATGTAAATGTAAAACATGACCAGTCGACGTAGTGTAGTGAGCAGGCTAGCGCCAGGAGACGACCCAATGGAACCAAGCGAAAGGAGCAAAAACCAAAAACATACTAACTAAACTATAACTAAAAAGTGCAACTAAAATAAACAGAGAACTTGTGTACTTAACTAGCAACTTTAGTAACTTTTCTAAGCCACGAGCAGAGCGTGTGTGTAGCGAGGGAATATTTTTCATAAGCTGGCTAGCAGCTTAAATATTTACCAGTTCAGAAAACAAAGAATATATATATATCTAAACGATTTTTGTATAAGATTTATATAGAATATATATCTGTGTGTAAATGTGTGTGTATATATAGGGCCTGAACAATTCGTTACTTAAAGCTTAGGGGAGTCTTACAGGGTCAAGTTGTTTAATCAAAAGTTAGCCCTCGATGAGTGTCCACCATTAACGAGTATGAATATGTAGTTTTAGAATTCAATATTCTTTGTGTCTTCCTTAGTCAAATATGTACGTATGTGTGTATGTCTATATTAGGGATAGAGATCCTTCCAAAACAAATAAACAAAATATAACAAATTCAAGTGCAATGCAAGGAATTCGCGTGTCATCCACAAAAAATAATGCCATCATGTCAATGTGCTCAAATGTGGAGACATGAAAACACAAACTACAATAATATCCTTAACATATATACCATATAGAGTTGATGTGTACATATATAAATATAATAAATAAAATATGTATTTAAATGTTTAACAATATAAATAAGGGTTTGGTTTTATTTCTTAAAGACCTAAATTTTGGTATAAAAATTAACTATTAAATATTATTAAATAAATTAAATTATTGTGTTATATTATATATTAGCCAAACTGCTGCTGCTGCTGGGGATTAGGCACCTGTCTGGCCACCTGGGATCGATAGCGGAACAGGGGACGAAATACATTGATCTCGGCCAGCTCCAAGTCATCGGCTGCCTCCTCATAGGCCAGCTCATCCAGAGCTCTCCTCAATCTGCTCAGAGTTCTCACATTGCTGTAGAGATTTTCCAGGGCTTCACTGGATGTGATGGCTTGATCTTTTGCCTCCAGTCTTTGGTTTTGCTCTGCCTGGGAGTCACGTTCCTGGGGATAACCAAGCACCAGCTCAAAGGTGGCTAAGCAGGCCATCAGTTGAAAGATCAGCTATTTTTCCGATTAAGAAAAAATTCCATTAAAACTTAAATACTTTTAAAAATTATATATATTAACTTACTTGTCTGTACTGCATTTCAAACAGATTTTTACTCTAGTTTTTCTTTTATAAAAATGTACTTGCTTAAAGCTGGACTGCAGGTTATCAAGTGTGCCTTCAGTTTGGTCTGGCTCGCCAATTTATACAAGATGCAAAATTGTTTTTGCCTTTAACTGATTAACACCTGCAATTGTTCTTATTTCTCGCCTTGATTTTCACACTGCCGGCGGTGGAAATTAGCGGTATAGTGTTGAAAAAACGAGAGCATTTTCCGCTCTCAGGCGAGTCTGATTGAAAAGCCAGGTCATGTGCACATGGGATTTGTTTTTATTTTCAACAAAACTGGCACTAAGTACAATAGTGACTAATTTTTATTTGTTCATCTGGTCGCGTGTCAAAAAAATAATAATTAGCCCGTGATCTTAGGAACTGAGTCCCGGAATTAAGTCGCACCAACTAATTGGAAGAGTAAATCGAAGTGTTGGGATGCAAAGTGTTACCTAAAATATATGGCGCATCAATATAAAATTCCTTAAACTTACACTTATATAAGTGATATTTAAGAAAATAGCGGGGTTAAATTATTGAGGTATTAATTTAATGATTAATATATTAATTTAATTATATACATTTTACATTTATATGTTTTTAAAACTGTTTTTAAAACTATGTTTTTAAAACTAATAGAAACTTTTTTTTAATGTAATGAATACTTATATTCTAAAGCTTAGATTAAATTTCGTACACAAATTGAAGCCATAATTACTTTGTTTATACTAATATTAGCCAATAAATAAATTATGAAATGTAACAGCCAAGTTTTAAATTGGCACGCTCTATGTCCTTTTTTAGGTAATTCTTAATACCCTCAATTAATACCAAAATCAGCTGTTGATGAACGGAGCCACAAGAAATCTCCTAAAAGTAACCGAAAATAATACGGAATATTTTACAGCCACCCTAAACTGGTCACACTATTTGTCTTTTGTTATTTTTTCCACGAAGTAATATTTACTTCCTTCAGTGTTTGCTCGACGATAATAATACATGGCAACTGTCGCGTTTTCAGTGTCGCATTATCAAGTCAACCCATTTATTAACAAACTGCCAGCAGCCGCTCGAGTTCCGTGTTTTTTTGGGGGCGAGACAGAAACTGAAGTTATAAGCGCCGCAAGCCGACGCAAGAATACTCTATAAATTACTCGATTACAACAAAAAAAGGTGATTAAATATTAAATAACAACGTGTGGGTTACCCCAACATACCTGATAAATTGTCGCAATTTATGAGATAAAATACTAGCGGCAAACCTTATCTGCAAAGTTAGAGAAAACAGCGCTATCAAAGCCGAGGGAAAAATTCGCCAACGCAGCAGAATAGTGAAGCGGAAACGTATTTTATAGCCTCATAACTGCGATACGGAGCGGAAAGTGTCATTGTTTGAGTGGAAGCAAGCGACGACGTAAACAAGAAAAACCTTACATATACATATGCATCCATATGGTATGTATCTGAAAGATAAGGTCGGATATAGTATCCGAACTTTGCCGAAACCCAATCCCCGTGGCTTATCCATCCGCAAAACCGCGACCCACTCCGCCGCTTTACCTGAATCTGAGTCACCTACGTGAACATCACTCACCTACCTGTTGATTGACTTTGTTTTACCAGGTAACTGACTCTTACGGAACGGAGAACGCTCGCTGGACGTGAGCAGCGGCCACCTTTTTGGCTAGTGGCACCCCAATCGGTCGATGAGAGCTCCACTGGGTTTGGGCAGAACGCGTAAGATGAGCAACAACTACAACGATGTGCCCTTTGGCATCCGGATGGTGCAGCGGCTGTCGCGCCAATGCTGCACCCGCTTCCACGCACGCAGAGATTTGCTGTGAGTATACAAAGCTAGGGTTTCATTATCAACCTATTTTCTGGGTTTTTGGTGGTTCTTTTGTGGAATTGATTGATTAAGAACGCATTTTAGTCTCAGTTTTAGGGGGAAAGCCCGCTTAAGAAGTCTGTTTCTTGATTGTTTATGACTTTAGAAGGTATTTTTGACACGTTTTAGAGATTAAACATTATTTTTACACTTTAAAATACTCTAATTCCTTAAGAAACCAAGTTGAAATTTTATGAAAAACCCACCGAAAAACATCTGTTTTGTCTTTTTCCACATTATTTCCACGAAATTAGTAAGACTGACAACTGCAAATAGGTTTCTTATCAACAAAATAGCAAAACCTGAACAAATTTTCATTAAAAACTGCTAGCGATAAGAAAAGCCTTAATCTTTCATCTAACTGTTGTGATTACCCAGCGTTTATCTTATAAATTCGTTAGCCTGCACTGATTTTAAGACTTAAAATATATAAATATATTTTAAACCTATATTAACGACAACCTCTTTCTTCCAGCTACAAAATGTCTGTGTTTGTGCTAACCTTTCTGGCCTATGCCTGCTACCACATGTGCCGCAAGCCCATATCCGTGGTCAAGTCAGTGCTGCAGGGTAATTGCTCTACAACGCCGGCCACGGCGGGGCAGGACTGTGGCTATCCGCCCTTTGGTGAGTACAAGCTCCTCCTTTTTGCTTCCTTTTTCCTTACCTTTACTCTTATCTCACAGATGGTCCCGATGCCACCACCCTCTTTGGCATGATGGACTCGGCGTTCCTCTTCTCCTATGCCATTGCCATGTTCGCCTCGGGCTTTGTGGCAGAGCGCGTTTCGCTGCGCTACTTCCTCTCCATGGGCATGATCCTCACCGGCGTGTTCACCTACATGTTTGGCATAGCCCGCACCTCAAATATCCACAGCTTGTGGTATTTCATTCTGGTGCAAATCTGCGCTGGCATCTTCCAGACAACGGGTTGGCCTGGTGTGGTGGCCCTGGTTGGTCGCTGGTTTGGCAAATCAAAGCGTGGCCTGATCTTTGGCATCTGGAATAGTCATACCTCGATTGGCAATATTCTGGGCACACTGATAGCAGCCCACTATGTGGAGAGTGACTGGGCGATGTCGTTTGTGGTGCCTGGCATTATCATAGCAGCCGTGGGCTTTTTACTTTTCCTTTTTCTGGTGGATCAACCGGAGATTGTGGGCTGTTATCCGCAGACAGGGCAGCAGGAGAGACGCGTGGCCAATGAATCGGATCAGGAGGATCATGGGGATGATGAAGAGCAAATACGACACAATGATGCTGTGAGTATGAAGGGTAGCAGTGCTCCTATGGCGCTCTTTTGTATTATTTTATGTTGCTGTTGTGATTTCTTAACTAAACTAACGTTTTGCTCGGCCTTAGTGTGTGGTCAGTTTGGGTTACGGCTCTTCGGAAACTGTAAGTGCATGAAATCGTGGAATCTCTCAGCTTGCTTTGTCGATTATTTATGGCTTTTGTACATTTGGCGCTTTGATATAGCTATAAATGCTTATTTTTTAGGGTAAATGAGTAACAAAATTTTGTACTTTTTGCAGGAAATCAACTACAGATCGGCACCCACCGAACGCACTCCCATTCTGGCCCGTTCAGCCTCTCAACAGCCCATCCATCAGAGGGGCCATGGTCGCCCCATAAGCCTGATTGATGCTTTGTACATACCCGGTGTGGTGGAGTTCTCGCTGTGTTTGTTCTTTACCAAGCTGGTCAGCTACACCTTCATGTACTGGCTGCCCCTGTACATACAGTCTTCCAGTAAGTATTAATTTTGAATCTTCAAAATGTTATTATTCATCTTTTAAATTATTATTCAGTCACCCTGGGCCCTCAGCTGTCCGCTGATCTCTCCACCCTCTTCGATGTGGGCGGCATTCTGGGCGCCATAGCTGCGGGCTATCTATCCGATGTCAGCGGAATGTCAGCCACCGTCTGCACCGGCATGCTGTTCATTGCCTCGCCCATTGTAAGTTGCCTTTCCCATTCCCTATAAATCAGAGATTATAATCTGTATTCGTTTGCAGTTGCTGATGTATCAACAATATGGTGCATTGTCGCTTACGATTAGCATTTTCCTGCTGATTGTGGTTGGCATCTTTGTGAATGGCCCTTATGCTCTCATAACGACCTCGGTGAGTGCGGAATTGGGCCAGCACAGCTGTCTGGAGGGCAATGCAAATGCTTTGGCCACGGTAACGGCCATAATTGATGGCACAGGATCGATTGGTGCCGCTGTGGGTCCGCTCTTAGCGGGTCTCATTTCCACCACTGGCTGGCAGAATGTCTTCCATATGCTCATTGTGGCGGATATTATAGCCATGGTGCTGCTGGGACGACTGGTGATCAAGGAGTTTTCTGCACTGCGCCGCTCATCGCATCGCATACGGATCGAATAGCAGGCAGAGGAAGCGGAGAATGTGGATGTAGATGTGGTTTGACCGTTTATTTATTTGTTTTATTAAGCGTTCTGTGTACATATAGAACTGTTTCGGTTTGCGTTTACATTCGAGAGCATATCAGAGTGTGATTCTGATCCTAGTTTAAACCTAAACTTATTTTAAATCCATCAAGTTTACAGTTTTGATATATATTACCTACATATATACATATACATCTATTTTGTAATCTTGTGTGTGTGCGAACCTAGAGTGCGTGTGTGTCAGAGTCTCGTCGTTTTAAGTGCCGAACTATCATTAGTTTTTAGCGTAATTCTATAGCTATGTAAATACACTTTATCGTACACTTTTCGTACACCACCAATAAAACCGGATTTGACTGTACAATTTTTGTGAGAAAAAACATATCACTAGGTCCTGTTTCTAGCGGAGATCTGGTCTAATCTATCACTCATTTTTTAGAGAATCTCTTTTGTTTCGTCGTGCATAACTCTCAGCGGCAATCTTTTTGAGAAAATTAACTGTTGCTGCATCATTTTGATTGACCAACTTGAGCAGGACTCCCTCCTTGCGTTGCAAGAGCTTGTGCGGTGCTCCAAACTCCACAATTCTGCCCGCATCCATCACTAGGACACTGTCGTTGTCCATCACCGTGTGCAGGCGATGGGCAATTGTCAGGACTGTGCACTCGGCAAATTTGGTCTGGATGGTTTCCTGGATCAGGATATCAGTTCTGGGGAAGAGGAAATAATATTAAGAATTATAAATAAATTATTTTTGATCTTTTGGTAATATACTTACTCTGAATCCACATTCGCTGTGGCCTCATCCATCACCAGGACTCGATTCTGTCGTAGAATAGCCCTCGCCAGGCACACCAGCTGCCTCTGACCCATGCTGAAGTTGGAGCCACCATCCTGGAGGTGACAAGAAAGCCCTCCCTCCAAGCTGGCCACATGTTTCTTTAGCTTAACATCCTCCAGAGCACTCCACAGCTGCTCATCACTCTTCTCCTCGAAAGGATCTAGATTAAAGCGTAGGCTCCCCGAAAACAGCACTGGATCCTGGGGTATTATAGAGATTCGACTACGCAGATCGTGGAGACCCAACTGGCCTATATCCAGGCCATCAATCTCAATGGTGCCCTTGTTGAAGGCCAGGCGAAATAAAGCCTGAATAATAGACGATTTGCCTGCTCCTGTGCGACCCACGATGCCAATCTTCTCCATGGGCTGTGATTCAAAGTTAAGGCCACGCAGGATATCCGCATCTGCAGGAGCATAACGCATTCGGAGCTCCCTAAAACGTAGATGACCTGCCTGTGGCCACTCCTTGGCCAATTCGAGACTCTTGGGACTTTCCAGCGGTGGTTCCGAGGGCATCTGTGCGTATTCCAGGACTCTCTCCACACTGGTCATATTGTTCTCCATTTCTGCGGTCTGTCGCATACCCCACTGGCACATGATGACCAGTGTCATGCTCTGGGTGATGGCCAAGCCCACATCGCCGCTGTAGAAACTCTGATCAATGACCAGGAAACTGAAGGTCACCGCCAGGATGTAGACCACACAAATCAGATCTGTCCAGAAGGAAAAGGCCCGATTGGCGCTCACATAGAGAAACAGCGCTGAGGAATTGGTGTTCTGGTGGCCATGGAAGGTCTGTTCCAGCTGCGGCATGGCGTCCATGGAGCGAATGGTGGTGTGACCATGGAAGGTTTGATTTGTGTGCGAGTATATGGGGCTGCGAGCTGGTTAAGGAAGAGTATTAGTAAAGTTTAAATTAAATAATTAAGTTGTAAACTCACTCAAGCTCTCAATTCTTTTCAGACTCCTGCTAGCTCCTATGTACAGGGCACGGCAGAGGTAAAGGAGCAGCACCATGATGGCTGCTGGGATGAGCAGCCAATAGTTGGCTATGGTTACAATCACCAGAACAGCCACCACATCCACCAGGAACTATAGAAATTCAAAAACCATTAAAAAAATCTTACAAATTAAATCCTGAATAAAATACCTGCAAGGAGTCCATCATGGCCTGCGGCAGGGTCACATCCACATTCTGTATATCACTGGAAAACCGATTAAGCACGCGTCCCGAGGGATTGGCATTAAAGAAGTACATCCAGGCGCGGATGATGCCATGATAGAGCTGATCGTGCAGCTTCAGGGAGATCCTCAGGCACATGAAGAAAAAGCCAAAGGTGCGCAACAAAAACAAAGCCAAGGTTAGCAGCAAGAGGATTGTGTAATAGGTAACCATCTTGGTGCGTGTGGATTCCAAATCATCTATAGAATCATAGCCACGATCCTCCTCCCAGGTGGCCCAGCGGGAGATAAAGATGTCCATAAGAGCCTGGCAGCCGCGGGCAAAGACGAAAAGCGAAAGAACCAAACAGGCCAGGAAAGGAGCTCCCAAAGCCTTAAAGTACGCCTTGTAGGTGTCATAGCTCACGGCTCCTTGGAGCTGCTGTTCCGTGTTGGCATCCTCATCCATATCCAAAGCGCTAGCGGCCTCCTCTTCACCTTTACTAAGCTTGGAAGTCCTGTCCACCTGACTGAGCACTCGCTTCACCTGAATCTTATCCTCCTCGATGGCCTCCAGATCCAAAGCAGCATGGTGTGTTATAATATCCTTCAGCTGGTCGTAGCTGCCCTGCTGGGTGAGATGACCTGCCTCCAGGAGCAGCAGGTGATCCACGCTCTTGAGCAACTGCACATGGTGAGTGATCAGGATGCGCATTTTGCCGGCGAGCAGGCGATGAAAGCACTTGTCCATCAGCAGCTTGCCCACTTGGGCATCCACAGCAGCCAGGGGATCATCGAATAGGTATATATCCGCCTGGCGATAGCAGGCTCTGGCCAGGGCAATCCTTGCCTTTTGTCCGCCACTCAAGCTGATGCCTCGTTCGCCCACAACAGTGGCATCGCCACGCGGCAGCAGCTCCAGATCCCTTTCCAGCTGGCAGGCATGGACCACAGCTCGATAGCGATGCTCCTCGTAGGGTTCCACGAAGAGAATGTTCTCCCTGATGCTGCCCTGGAACACCCAAGGCTGCTGGGCGGCATAGCTGATCCTGCCATGGATCTCCACGCGGCCCTGCATCAGCTCGATCTCACCGAGAATAGCATGGAGTAGGGTGCTCTTGCCAGAGCCAACATTACCAACCACACCCACAAACTGATCGGATTTGACGTGGAAGGAGATTCCCTCAATATGCGGCTTCCTGGGATGCTTGGTGCTCGGCTTGTCCCAACTGGCGCTCACTTTTCGGAAGCTCAGACACTTCACCTCGCTCTTCACGCAATGCAGGCGGCCCACCTTCGCCGGCTTGGGCTTTTCTGTATCTAACTGCAGTCCGGGATTGTCGCGACAGCAACCTTCCTCCTCGGGCTTCTCCACCTGCTGGAGGAACTCCACCACACGACGGGCACTGACCAGAGTCTGCGCCCAGGTGGTAATGGCCATGGGCCAGTAGTGAAGCAGAGAATCATTCAGGAGTCCGTAGTAGGAGGACAGGATGAACACCTTTTTGGCAGTGACCAGATCACCCACATAAACGTAGGCCACCAGACTGAGAAACAGTGATATCTTCGAGATCATATTGGTGCACTGCAGGGCGGCATAGATGCTCATGGATCCCCGGATGGCCTTCACCTCCGACTTTCTCACAGCGGCTATCAGTTTGCCAAAGGACTTTTCCCACGCATACATTTTGATCACCTGGATGGCGGTGATGATCTCGTTCATTAGCTTGACTCTTTCGTCGCGATGCTTCGCCGACTCTGAACGGAAATGAGCAGCAGCCTTGGCAGCCCAGGCTTGGAGCGGAATCAGGATCACGATAAAGGCTATGCCAATCAGCGAGGTCCAGCCCACCTGAAGGTACATCAGGTAGCCAAAGATGCACGCCTCCACGGGTCCCTTCCACAAGTCGTGGAAGAAGTAAAAGGTCAGATCAAACTGTGACAAATCGATGGACATCACGGAAATGGCCAAGGCTCCAAGCCCTTCACCACTACTCGCCGAGGCACGAAGACATTTCCGGTAAACCAAACCAGCACAGGCCACTCTCACTCTGGTGCCCACGGCAAACACATGGAACATGAACGGATGGAACACCAACGAGGTGACCAGGGAGCACAGGACAATGCCCATGGCATATAGATAGGCACTCTCCTTGGTCACGCTCGTCTGGCCATAGGCAAAGTAGGATATGAGTCCTCCGAGCAGCAGAGGCTGAAAGGAACTGTAAGTTTTTCATAGAAAATATATATCTTTAGGGAAATCGTATGGGAGTACTCACTGTATGGCCATCTCCAGCAGGGAATACAGTACGCAAACGGGCACAAACTGCCAGCCGTAGACGCGGAAGATCAGGTTCATCAGGCTGGGCTTCTTTCGCTTCGACTCCTTCTCCCAGTGCGGTTGAATATTCCGAGTCAGGGTTTCACTGTCAAAGCTGGGCAATTGCTCGTAAAGCTTACTGGCGTCCAACTGCTCACGCCTGCCCTTGCGGAAAATACTGTGCATCCATCTAAAAAGGCGGGGGAAACAATGATAAGTCATTCAATATCTTATCAATGAATCTTGGGGAGCATGGTTAGCTTTAAAGTGACAGGTAATGATCCCGGGCTTCGATACGTGACTTCTTACATTCTAGGGTCAATCAAAGTCAGAAAATGGGAAGAAGGAGATTACGGTCTGGTGAAATAATACCATGGATGGGCATTATTTTATTATTATTATAATTGTTTTTATTATAATTTTTTAGTTTCCTTTTCTTTTACTCGAAGTATGTTTGTCCCCTTTAAAAACATATTTTTATTATTTTCCAATGTTAATTTTTAGGGTTTTCTTAGTTCTTAATTATTTTTTTTAATGTTAATTTATAAATTTCTTAGTTCTTAGTTATTTTTCCGAATTTCCTGCAATATTATTTAATTTCCTTTATAAAACACACATAAAACTTTATGAAACCCACTAAACCAAACAAACATTTTTTGGTAGTAACTATGGATCCTGGATAACTCAAACCATATCTGGAACTATATTCAGGTTTTACAATGTCCCGTTGATATGGTTTATGGGTACACCCGAACCCTAGTCAACATTTAGACACTTATCGCACGTCATAAACTATCCAATCAAATGGATGCCACCGCTCACTAATTGACCCAGAGCATGGATCGAACTTCCGCAGGGATATAGTCACTTTTCACAAATTAAAAAAAATACAAAACACTCACAGGAACAACCACTTGGAGATAATGTTGGCCTTGGTAAACGGATTAGGCTCACGTTTCGTAGTATTATTTCGTTTAGAGGAATCCATGGCTCCATGCGAATTGTGTTCACGGCGTTGGACAAACTCAAAGTGATCCAGAATGGTCAGGTGCTGGGGCTTTTAACGCCTAGCAGACGGTGACGTCGGTTGGTGTTGATTGTTTGCCACCATCTTAGACGATACGGTCTTTTGCACTAGGCACACCGCCGCCTAGTCCGTCCGGCGATAAAGTGGTAAACTCAACAGGCTCGTTAGCTTGTTCTTCGCTTTCCTGATAGTGGAGGAGACGTAGTGATAGTGACTAAGACGTAATCGATAGCGCAATTGGCCTGCAATTCAAAGGAGCGGCCATTGCAGCAATTTGCGCCCCAAAAGTGCGCTTGTTAAATGTTAAGATGCCGCCATAAATCTGAAGCGGATTCCGGGATTATATATAGGACAGGGGAGTTTTAACGTCTTTGTTGTGGTTAGATTATATTAACACCCAGATTGCAACTCCTGGTATCCAAAGTTGGCCTTTTATGACCACAGCAAGAGGCTTATCTAATCGTGACCATGATTATTATGCTATTATTTTCGGCACAGACAGAGGAAACTACATGTGTTTGTCTAACAAGTTCAATACACTCCCAGATAACACAAGTTTTTCATTCATGACTAAAGCTTTTATGGCCTTTTAATTACTCTTTGGGGCATTGGGAATCCTTTTTGGGGCTAACATTGCACGGGAATGAAGAAATTAAACCTAAAGCAGGCAGAAAAACATAAATACTTGGACTATTTTAGCTACATTAACTAGATTTTGGGGAAATCACAAGCTGTGATAAAGTGTTGAATGCGGAGAATATACAATTTAGAAGGACAAAGGACACATATACATATGAGGCTAATATATCTCAAAAGACAGACTACTCGCTTAAGTGTATAATATCAATATTTAAAAGCTAAAACTGATTGATTTGTATGCAGTAACTATCACTTTATCACATCTTGTGACTATAACCCAGGCATTTCCATAGACTCTAAGGCAAGCTGTGCAGGTCGTGGTGCGTGTAGAGCTGTTCCGTGCGATCGTAATTGATACGCATGTTGTTCAGCATTGACGGCAGGTTCTCCTTGGCCAGGCCCACATCGGAGCAGACGCGCTTGAGAAGATCTCCCCTAGTGGGCATTGCGTACATGGCCAAACGGGCGCCTTTGCGTATGAGAAAGGAGTGATGCTTGCCCAGGGTGTCGTCGTAGGCCGTCTTGCACACATCCACCGTCTTTTGGTCGTCTTCCAGCGCCTGAACGCGATTGAGAAACTCGTAGACAAAGTCTAGATAAGACACAATCAGCGCCAATTAGTTAAAATGTGAGAGACAGGCGGAGGAAAAGCTCTCCAAACTTACCCAGACCGCGATGGAGACGCAGTAGCGTACGACTCCCCGACACGTAGCCCTTTTTCGCCAGCAGTTGCTCCTCCTTCTCGTACTCCAGCATGGTCTTAAATGTCTCAAAATGCCTCACATCCTGCGTGTCCGTGGCCCTCAGGGCATACAATATATCAATCTTACTGCGCACATCGCTGCTCACAAAGCTAAAAACACTGCCCATCAGCTGGAAGAACCTGTGAAACCAATTAGTCGCCTTAATTCCTACACCAAGGAGCTTTATTTACTTCATGATTTCCTCGTAGGCAGTCAAGTAGGCGTCCATTTGGACGTCATCTTCCCCAATCAGGCTGCTCTCGAACAGAGTGGACACGTTGAGGATGTCAAAGCAGTTCCCCGAGTCCCCATTCTGCGTCGCCAATGCCGTTTCGCTCATATTTTTAACTGCCTTTTTTGTTGTTCTTTGTTGTGCTAAAAAACTTTAATTTAAGTTGGCCAACAGTAAGACCGTGGCTTGAAAATATACTGCCAATTACGGTATATACCAGAGACCAAGAACGTTATAAAAGTAGAGTGACCTTTAAATATATAGAAATACTAAGCTTTGTGCGGCAAGTTTAAATAAAATCTGTTATACAATATATATTTATTAATTTTATTTTTTTTATTTGGAAAATATTCTTATATTACAAGCAAAAAATATAATTTAAATTGTTTAAATAGAAGCTTTAGTACTTAGAATTCCTAGTAAAAAAAAACTATAATTCCTAAGCCGATGAGAGATTACCGCTGCCACTGCTAGCTCCCTTTTTTGTAGGACGATATGCAATCACATACCTCTGGGCAACCGGCAAAGGTTCAGCATACCCATTCATATACGAGGAATCCTCGAAGAGCACTTCGTAATCCTCGGTGGCAGTTTGAGGCAGACGATGGACAATAGCCTTGTAGAAGCAGGTAGTCTGGGGATACAAAGCCATGACTACCGTATCCTTAGGGAACAGTGCATGACCATCGGTCTCGGGATTAGCACGCATAAGAGGCAGCGGGATGACCTTACGCTTGCTCAGCACATGCCGGTCCTTTTGCTCCTCGTCAATGTCGATCACATCGTATTTGTTCTGGCGATGCAGGAACTGCACCACCTCTGCCAGGATCCAGTTCTCCTCCTCGTCGATGCCCTTGGCCAGAGCGGCCACGTTGTCACCAACCTAAAGATTACATAAGGTATTAAAGGAGGTAACTACAAGCCAGGAGCATATATCTACCTTTGCCACATAGTTACCCTCGGCGGGTATGGCTCCGCAAAGGGCAGGTGCCCGCTCGCCTAGCTTCCCTACAAACAAAGGCAGAGTTTGGGCCGATAACTGCACCATTTTCATGAGGGCCCCACGACGGATGGCCTCCTTGTTGCCGGCATTACGAGCTGTGGAGAAAATCTAGTAAAATCATCTCAATAAATCTCATGTTAAACTCACCTTGTATCCTGCGTTCATTGCGGATGCTGCGTATCTCGTGGATTTTGGCCAGAGCAGCTCGAATTGTGGCCTCTTCCTGGGATGCTTCCAGTAAACTGGCCTTCAGCAGGGGTTTTACCTTTTGATTGGTGGCATGCAGGGATCGCACCAAGCTGGAAATTGAGTTCTCCGCCCGGCGACGCTCCTCGTCGACTATGTGAATATGTTGTTGTATGTCTTTCAGGCGATCCTGCAAAGCCAAGAAATTGTAGCATTTAGCGAGTAAAAACTGGTTCTATCTTACCTGTATCTGTTGCGCCGCACTTTCCGCAGTAAGTGGCATCTTTTTTGTTGTTTATTTAATAATTTTAGCTGCTTTTTTTTACCTTTTGGATTATTGTTATTTTTGCAAACAAAACAACACAGCATCGGAAATTAATTATCGATTATTTTCAGTAGTCTATCGTATAACAGTTTATTACTATTATTTTGTCCGTTTGAACGGTCACACTGCTCTAAATTGTAAAAACATCGATAGATTCGTTATTTACGATATTGTCATCTTCTTTTCCGCTGAAGTGTTGAAAACGTAGGTAGCGAAAATAATGATTCTATAAGAAAATCCGTAAATGTTAAGATTTTCTTTAAAAATCAGCTTTTGCCGGAAGTGCAAATCAATAAATAATGCCACGAACTACTTGTAATGAGAGATATTTTATGTTTTCATGTGCCTGCTTCACCAAAACTCGGATGCGTCGGATAGTTTAAGATGGCCAAGTCCAAGAACCACACAAATCACAACCAGAACAAGAAGGCGCACCGCAATGGCATCAAGCGCCCGATGCGCAAACGCCACGAGTCCACTCTGGGTGTAAGTATCCTTATAAAGCCCTCCGATTTAAGCTCCCAACTAATCGGAGTTTCCACCCGGCAGATGGATGTGAAGTTCCTGATCAACCAGCGTTATGCCCGCAAGGGTAACCTGTCCCGCGAGGAGTCCGTGAAGCGCTACAACGAGCGCGTTGCTGAGCAGAAGGGCAAGCCCAAGCCAGTTACTCTGTAGATTCCTCCTCCGCCTGTGGTGACATTAAAGGATACAAAAACTTAACAAACATCTCAGCGAGTCTTTATTTATGTTCCCCGGTTAGTAGTAGATGCTCAGCACCTTGTGGAAAGGAATGTGCTCCAAGTCGGCGTTGTACTTGCGCCGGTAGTCCCACAGATACTGGTCAATCACCACTGAGTTGACGTTGTCCAGAGAGATCTCCGGGTGCTGCTCCTTCAGCAGCTTGACCACCGCATCCCTGACTTCCTCAATGATGTGTATGGACGCGCCGCGTATCTCAACCTCCCTGGGGTCGCCGTTCTCCAGAATAGTGTCCGTCTTGAGAAAGTCCATCAGCTCCTTGGTGTACTCCAAGCTACCAAAGTGCACTAGCACCTGTGGAATGCGGTAGTCTGCAAACATTGTTATCTTGTCGATGTCGTGGAAGAAGCCAAGGCCCTTGGCGCTGTAGCAGCACCATATATCTCCCACCAGGATCTGGGCTCGCTTTAGGATGGAAACCCGCTTTCCAGCGTACTCGGCCTGGTCCCTGAAGCAGGGAAACTCCTCCACAATCAGCTCCAGCAGACGCACTGCCGACTTGTCCGCCGCCTTGATCACATTCTCAAAGTGTCCGTCGTACTTCTCAAGCAGAACTTTTCCCACTTCGTGCAGGGCTTCCAAACGCTGCTGGATCAGGGGGATCTTTGTCTCCCCATCGTCGGATCGGAAAATATTCTCCAGAGTTTTGAGGTCAATCTCCGAGTAGAACTTGGGATTGATGATGTCCACGCCCTCCTTGATGGCTCTCTTAACAGCCGCACACAAGGCAAAGTAGCCGGTATACCCATCGACCTTGTATTTCGTGTAGTTATCTGTTAATTCAGAGTTTTAAAGATAAGAGATGTTAAGTGGGGTAGCAACTATATACTCACGGGGTGTCCAGAAGCAAAAGTTCAAGGTGTCCAGCACAAATACCCAATCGGCTGCCTTGGTATACTCCTCCGCCTGATTTGGGTCCGGATTAGGGTGCAATTCGTGTTGCGAGAAGTTTTCAACGCTGAGGCGCTTTTCTTTCAAAGCTTTCAAGATTTCCTGGGAGAGTTTTTGAATGCCTGCAGGCAGGACACGCACGTGCTTGGCATTCTCGACTATATAAGCGCCGGATTCTCGGGGATTAAGGCTGATCTTGGACATTTTAATAGGTTTTTGATAGACTTTTATTGAAGCGTCGCGAGTTTTGGCGCTGCAAGAGGCTGTAAGCTAATTTAGGATGTTAAAATTTCCTACAAGTCGACAACCCTGCCTGAGAAGCAAAACTATCGACGATGGCGCCATTTTTGAAGTTTTTAAATATCGATACTACGGGTTTGGTGAGATTTAAGCTTTTAAACTCACTATTCACTGATTTTCAGAGTTCATTAAAAAAAAAGGACCGGGAAAATAACCGAGCTTCCTTTTTACCACGTTAATCTGTAAGAAATGGCCAAACAGCCGGAAAAATTCAAGCAACCTATCTAGTCGGCTGAATAGTGTGACCAGTACACGGCAGCTCAGAAATACATTCCCTTTTCCACAACTTTAAGCAGGCCCTATAGTATAATGAACAGAAACAAGTGCGGTCACACTGCATTTTCCACTATTGCTAAAATCGACAAGCAATAATTTTAAAAATTTATTACAACCGTTTTAAGCACTAGTGAAATGATGGCTAATCTTGGCCGCTGACAAGCCAGATTGTGTAATGCCCCGCGAGTCATGTGCTGGCGATAAACCCCCGAAAAAGTGCCGTTGATTGCTCATACTCAATATTATTTAGTTTGTTCCGCGGACAACCCTTCGAGTTTTGTGAATGCATCCGGAAATACAAGATATTAACCCTTTTCCCCCGTTTAGTTAAGTGTCGCGACAAGTCTTTGTGCCGCCGCGAAAGAAAAGAAATATATTTTATCGACGTTTCAGTTTGCCACACGCACACACACACGCTCATAGATTTTGCAGAGACTTCCCCGCACACACAGATACAGCAGCGCTGCGATACAGATACACGTGCGTTCAGCTGTGAATGAACGACAACGGCCGCTGCTCAGCTGTAGTTTGTTTTCATTCCGCACCGAGATCGGGGGAAGTGTCCTGGGAGTAGTGGGCAGGCAGCATCCTGAAATAACCGGATAATCCGCAGCTATATATGACCTTGGTCCGCTCAACAGGTGAGTCTCGCGGGAGCCCCCCAGACGGCGGCGGCGGCCTGTGTTTCACATATTTGCCGAATTAGTTATGCGAGACTATTTTTGTTTGTAGAGACACACGACATGACTCCGATAATTATAGTAGAGCGTATAGTAGAAGTATCTGTAGATTATAGTATACGTGTGTAGTGGCCGCCGATAAGCGCCTCAAAATGTGCTAATTGTCCACTGAAAATTCATTTCGAGATGATTTACTGCCCCAACCGCTCTCCATTGTATTCCGTTCTTGAGTTCCCCCACGCGCGCACACACTCACTCTGCCTCCGAAAGTATATATAATTAGTTTACATAAATATATTTAGAGACCTAGAACTTGCAATATCATACAAAACACACACTTACAGCCCGCCCCAAATCTCGTCTGTATTTATTTTTATAATAATTATTATACTCGGGGTTCCTATTTTCGCTTTCGTCTAGAAAATCGTCATCGCTTTAATTTGGTTCGCTGATTTGTTGACTTTTGAAGGGAGCGCTATCTCGGCTATAGGTTAAGTCTATGGTAATCCATCATAATTCCCTGCGTGCTCGAAAGTAATGACACTCTTATCGTGAACTCTTCACTCGATATCCTCAGGGGCTTTGATATACTCAAGATATACGATTTCAATCATCATTGAGTTATTGAGTTCATTACCGCCAGTTGTCGATAATTATTGAGTGCTCATCAATTTTGAATGTGCTAATTTTGATTGATTTCTATATTTTTCCACCCAAACGATCTTGTCAAGCCATGGAGTCTAAGCACCGATCCACCAAGGTACTCGAAATTGAGATTTTTTCTTACTATTGTATCATCGCCTCACAAACTCATGTTAATTTCTACAATAAATCAGGGAGTTAATCAGAGACATTTGGCAATCATCGATCGTTCACTTGATTTCTTCGAGTAAATCTCAGTTTATTTTCGCATCGTCTCGACACCTGACGCACATTTGTCAATTTTTTAAGTGAAAAGAAGTGCATATATAGTACGTATAGTGAGAAATTGTGAATATGGGTGAAACTGTTCCTGTGTACTCAATTTCGCATTTCATGGAAACCCATTTGACCAGCTCAGCAAATGGCAACCGAAGAGTCTCCAATTCCCAAGTGAGTCTTCAAATAAACAAAACGGATTTATCTATTTGAAGAAAAGGGAGGTACTAAGTTTATAAATATTGGATTTTGAGGTGCTGTGGTTGCTGTTTTGGGTTTTATATTTAACGAGTATACTCCTGGAATCGATGTTTATTGTTTATAAACATTTTTAAGAGAAGAAAGTGTTTTATAAAGTTAAAATAAGGTATTATTTTTAGGCTATATAGGTTTGTGATAAAATTATTGAATAGAAATAGCTTCTAGACTCTAGAGGTAAAGCCGAATAGATTCTTTTCTTGTCAAAGACGGGAAGCAGACTGTTTTAAGAGGAAGCTTGAAGAAGTATTATTCAATCATCAGTAAGCTAGTTTTTTTATATAAAATTAATAATAAATATTTCCAGAATATGAATTTTTTCAGATATTAGATATTCAAACTTTTTTTTATTAAATATAAGGTTGTCAAAAAAGTCTTGCGGTATTTTCATTGAATTTTCAATTGTTCATAAAATTGGTTATAATACATAGTGCGATTTAAGTCAAATATGCGCCGTTTTGTTCGATGACGAATTCCCAACGAAATGCCAACTTCATAACGCTCCTCTTATAGAAGCTCGCTTCCCTATTGGCAAAAATCTCGAAGAGCTAATTTTCAAAGGACTCTCTTGTGTCCAACTTCCGATTACCAAGCTCGTTCGCCATGGACCGAAATAGGTGGTAATCACTTGGTGCAAGATCCGGACTATACGGTGGATGCAAAAGAACCTCCCACCCGAGCTTCGGAAGCTTCTGGCGCGTCACCAAAGACGTGTGTAGCCTAGCGTTGTCCTGATGGAAGACAATTCGGCTTCTGTTGATCAAAGATGGCCTCTTTTGCTTGAGTGCTGCATTCAAGCGGTCCAGTTGTTGGTAGTACAGGTCCGGATTGAGCGTTTGACCATAGGGGAGCAGCTCATAGTGGATGATTCCCTGCCAATTCTACCAAACACACAAAAGAACCTTCCTGGCCGTCAATCCAGGCTTGGCCACCGTCTGGGCAGCTTCACCGCCTTTCGACCACGACTG